ATCGATATACTTACTGCACTGATGAATTAAATAGCAGCATGTAATACCTATGGCAGTTTCAAAGTGGTGATACTCATAATGTAAAATGAAAATATTTACATCTGCTCACCGCAATGGTATTGTCACTATTTCTGTGGTTATGTCATCGCCTAAGTTAAAGAAAGTGCTAATAAACTTCAGTGGCACAGAGAGCTCTGCAGCTGGAGGACTTCACTTCAGCATCGTCCCCCGGCCATTCTTGGTGGAGTGATGGCTCCAGCTGTCCACTTCGGGCTCACACCAGTGCAGTGAGTGAGCGCATCTGAATGCGCGAGCCGCATCTTCCTCCATCAGCCGGATGTAGGTGGGAAGGGGGCATCATGGGAGAGACGCTGGCAACTTGGAGCTTGGGCCACTGGCCCTGTAACTGACTCCTGCCCTGTGGATGCTCTGGCCGCATCCTGTGTGCACATCTAGCACTTTCTGGGGTTACTGCCACGCCTATCCGCATGCAGTTTGATGGACTGGAGACGCTCCATGGGAGGGAGCTCTGGTAGCCATGTCAGGAGCTGAGCAGGATCCATGACACCTCAGTGGTGCTCTCAGAGCCTGCTTCTCCAATGGAAAGGAGGCCTCAGTTACGGTGTAGATCTAAATGGACCCCAAAGCCTCATGTGTTGGCAAGGTGACTGAATCGTGGGGGTGTCCAGTGCCTTGCCGTCGGTGAGCTGTGGCTGGGAGAGGCGAACCGCTGGGGCTGTGACCTGGCAGGGTGTGCAGAGTCTCCCTTCCCAGCTCTTCCTCGTCTCTGCTCTCCCCACTGCCACTGTGACAAGAGCAGCTGCCCTCCGCCACACCCCTCTTCTGGGCTACTGACTTTCTGCTGGCTGAGTGTGGGCTAAATACATGAACCAAAATGTATGTCTCTTCCTATAGGTGTGGGTGACAGGGACTGTGTCTCAGTAATGAAGAAAGAGCCTAAGAATCCCTGCCAGAGAAGGCATCGTGTCCCACCAGGACCCTAGAATCTGCGCTGCTACTCGCCTGTTAAACTTTGGCAGTGACCCATGACATCCTTAAGTCCTCTGCCACTGACTGTCAGTCAGCATGATGCTCTGATGGTCTGAATTGCTCTGTGCTTTTTCTTCCCCTGTGCTCCCTGAGCTGGCCACTTGCTGAAACACTTCATAAATGCGTTGGTGCAGTGACCCCAAGTTCAGGGCTGTGCTACCTCCAAAATCTACAGAGGCCACCCAGCTCTGTACCTGTTCTCATGATGGTGGTGTGGGGTGCAACATGCTGACATCCAGGAATCCTGGACCATCCCAGACTCATGGAAGAGTGGGCCTTGGAATCCATCCTGCTTTTTCTTTGCCTCCTAGCATGCGTGAGTGTTTCTGACCTTCACTTCACCAAGTCAGCTTAGCACATTACCCTTATGGACCAGCCTGTTCTTCTGGAAACCGTCAAGATAACAAGCAAGTTTAAAGACCACGTCCTAAAGAAAGAAGAATTTTGCCTGGTCCAAGGAGTAAAATGATCTGGGGGGTGGAGGGTAGGGTAAAACATGCTGCAAATTCCGTGTACATGTGTTTTATCTCATTTATTCATGAGTATTGAAGAGAACACAGTAAGATGAAGAGCTCTAAGGCATGTACCAGATCTCATGGTGAATCTTTCCTATTAAAAGTACTACAGCCAGCTCATTAGCTGAGTTGGAGCTGTGAAGGGCCAACTAGATCTAAAGGGACCCAAAGCCTCATGTGTTTGGAAGGTGACTGAATCATGGGGGGTGCCCAGCTGCCTTGCCGTTGATGAGCTGTGGCTGGAAGAGGCAGGATCCATCTCACCAACTTCAGTGGAGATGTGGTAAAATCAAGCCTACTTCATCTCTTTGGAGACAGCCTTCTTTTTAAAATTTTATGTATTTGGTACAGGCTTTCACTACATAGCTCAAACTCATAGTGATCCTGCTGCCTCAGCCTCCCTAGTGCTGGGATTACAGGCATGTGCCAGGTCTTGGTGGCTGGCTCGGTGTGCCTGGGGCAGGGCCAGCGTGACGTGTGGCACTGGGGATCCAGCCCAGATCTTTGTACTTGCCTAGGCAGGCACTTAGACCGCTGAGCTATCTCAGCAGCCTACCTTCTTCATCTTTAAATATTTGAGAGTTGTGCTTATTCTTAACTTTCACTTGAGATGTGCTTCTCATTAGTGAATCTTAGCACTTCAATTGCTGGCAGAATAAAAGCATTTTCAGGGACATTTTCATAGTGCTGCTTACCATAACTTTTACATACCAGGTTAGAGACTGTGTAAGTCCTGCCAAGTAACAAGTATGTCTACGCAGACTCCACATCTGGGTACTGGGGAAACAACCACAGTTACAGTGAGGTCGGATTGAAAAATATGGTGATAAAATTCATTACAGTAAAAGATGCATTGCTGTTAATCTTCCTCTGCTGGAACACACTTGTCCCATAGTTCTTGCCCCTTTCTGAAGCAGCTCTGGAAGTCCTCTTTCCTGAGTGTCTTCAGCTGCCATGTCACAGCTACCCCAATGTCCTGAATATAGGATTCAGAATGTTTACTTTTCGTGGTTGTTTTGAATCTGGGAAAAGCCAGAAGGTTCATGGAGCCAAATCCAGTGAACAAAGTGAATGTGGACACACTCTGCTTTTCAGTAGATGTGTGTGTAGTACCAGCATTCACTGTATTTTTTTTATCACACCTCAAAAAAGACTCAAAAGAGGGCTGCTTCAGAAAATGACAAGAATGATTAATCTATCATTAATTTAGTGTTTGAAGTTAGAGGGAGTATTTTGAGGGGGATTAATGGCAATAGGTCTTCCACTATACTAAATTTTTTTGAGGTTCTCCCTATACATTTCAGGTTGGCCCTGAACTCACTATGTAGCCCAGAATGGTCTCAAACCTACAGGGATCCTCCTGCCTCAGCCTTCTGAGTTCTGGGATTACAACCATGTACCACCATACTTGGTTTAATTTTTCTTGTTCTTTTTGAGACAAGGTCTCACTATGGAGTTCAGGCTAACCTAGAACTCACTTTGTAGCCCAGGCTGGCCTCCAACTTACAGTGATCCTTCTGCCTCAGCCTCCCCATTGCTGGGATTACAAGTGTGTACCATCATGCCCGGCTTCAGCCCAGAGTTGTGTAAATCAGCACTCCAGCTTGGTTGCCTATTGTGTAGATTAAGTCCGTATCAGCTCTCTCGGCAAGGTGACACTCCCTGGCCTCTTTCACTCCACTATCCCCATGGGTATGCCAGGGCCAGCTCCAAGGCAGCATCCTTTCAGCCTACAGAGGTAATGTGTCACTGGCTGTCTTAAAGATGCAGCTTTCTTGGTGCTTTCTTTATCCTTTTAGTGAAAATCTAGAGCTTGCTGGGCTAGTCGGACAATGGGCTGGATTCTGTGGTCACTTATAACAGGCCTAGTGGGCCTCCTTTAACATTTTCATCTCTCCAAGACCCATGACTCTTTCCTCAGCAGTCATCTTTGTTATTTCTTTCCTTCTGTTGGGTTGGTTTTGGTTTGATCTTGTTTTTTGGTACCTTGATGTACATGATGTACATATGATTTTTTTTATGTAGGCATTCATACTAGTAAACTGCCCTCTTGGAAGCGAGCTTTGCTGAATGTTGTTGTTCCATTTTCATTTAATTCTGGTGATTCTTAAATTCTTAAATTCCTCCCTTCAGTTTTCTCCATGACCCTCTGACCTTTCAACCATGTATCTATTTATTTATTGAAACATGTATTGATTTAATCCTTACATTTTTGTATAGTTTCTCGTGCTGTTGGTGCTAATTTCAATCTGGTGTGATCTGATATGATTCAGGAAGCGTTTCAGTTTTCTTTATCTGCTAAGCCTTGCTTTTCTGTAGCCTCCCGCATGGTCTGTTTGGGGGACTGTTCCACGAGCTGCTGAGAAGAATGTGCATTCTGTATTTGTTGGACGGACCGTTCTGTGATTTGTGATCTCCATGTGACCTGTGACCTAATTTCACTCTGATTTTTTTTTTGATGATTTTTTTTTGTCTGAATGATATATTTATTGATGAGAATGGAGTATTGAAGTCACCTAATAGTATCATATTGGAACTTGTATGTCTCTGGTTGTCAAGTGTTTGCTTTATAAATTTTGGTACATTGATGATTGGTGACTATACTTATAATTGTTCTGTCTTCTTGGTGTATTATTTCCTTTGGTCCATTTTTTGCTCGTCTGACTAACTTCATCTTAAATCTGCTTCATCACATCTGAAGCGAGCCACTTATACTGGTTTTCCATTTCCATTTGCGTGGAGTACTGTTTTGCATCCTTTTAGTTTTCGTCTGTATGTCTTTGTTAGTAAGACATGTTTCTTGCAGGTAGCAAAGACTTGAGTCTTTTTTTTTAAATGCAATCTGATCCAAACTTGGTGGCATGCACCTATAATTCCAGCACTCATTAGGCTGAGGCAGGAGGATCACTGCAAGTGTGAGGCCAGCTTGGTCTTTCTACATAGTAAGTTCAAAGCTAGCCTGAACTACACAGTGAGACCCTGTCTCAAAGCACAAACAAACAACAACAACAAAAAGATTTTCTGTGCCATTACTCTGAACTTTGGCACACTCTTCTCACCAAAAACGTGTACATTTAATCTTTTTTTTTTTTTTCTGGATCCAGCAATAGATTTATTTGATTTTTTTGTTTCTTCAGCACTTAGAGGGAGTAAATGGTAATGAGAATTTGAGAAAGTTTTGGTACTACAACATTGTACTTGCAATATTTTGTCAATCACAAATATTAGTAATTGTTACTATCTAGCTTTTCAAAACTAAATGAAAATCAGGTTTAAAATAACTTTTTTTTTTTGACATCAGTTATTTTTATTTTAAAGAAAGAAAAAATAAATAAAAAACAGTGGTACAAAATCTCAAAACAAGATTTTAGGAGAGTAACAATGGTTAGTACATTGTGTATTGTTACGTTTAATCTTTTAATCATGCCCCAGTGCTCGCTTCAGTAGCAAGTATACTAAAATTGGGACAATACAGAAAGTATTAGCGTGGCCCCTGCACAGTGATGGCGCACGGATTCATGAAGCAGTCCATATTTTTATAAACCAGACTCACAAGTGTAAGCATTGGATTGTCTAAGAAACTGAAAGGGAAAATTAGATCTAAAAGGTACAACATGTATTATAAAAGGGCAAGAAACTTCTCAAAAGAAAAAGAAAACGAGTGGGATGGGGGGAAGGAGAAACGAAGACAGAGAAAATATAAACCAAACCAAAACAAACAAATAAACAACAAAAAAATATGTACACATAAGATAGCTAAGATCATTGTACTACTAACTTCTGTTAGTTCGTTGAAAGGACTAGTTAGTGCTTCTGAGCAATCTTACATGCCTACATCTGGAAATCTGAGTAACTACTGTGAGGATAACAGCATGCAATATAATAACCATTGTTTTTTTTTTTTAATTTATTTATTTATGTGTGTGTGTGTGTGTGTGTGTGTGTGGCCAGCTCAGCCCACCAGGGGGCGGGGCTGGCTGGCATATGGTGCTGGGGGATTGAACC